AGGGGTGTCCTGTGTGTTTTACCCTGTGACAACATCATAGTTGAGGGAGGGATGGTCTTTGGAAACAGGAGGAACCAGAGGCTCTGGCTGCCACTCCTCAATCAGGTCCTCCTTCTCCTGTAACACGGGATGAACCACATGACAGCTGTTTGGTGACACACACACACACACACACACACACACACACACACACACACACACACACACACACACACACACAGTTTGTTTTTCACTGCGCTGTGCTGAGTTTACCTTCTCTGTCAGTTTATAGGTCTCATGGAGTTTGTAGGTCTTAGAGAACAGAAGTCTGATGATCCACAGTATGAGGATCCCCTCCAGAATCAGGTGATAAGCAGGAGCCTGAGGAAGACAGGGACATGAAGATTATTTTGGTTAACTGTATTATGAAATAAAGTTCTTCTCACACAATCAGGGTTCCCAAAAGTCCTGGAAAATCTTAATATTTAGAGACTATGTTTCCAGTCATGGAAACACCTGGAATTTGGTTAAAATGACCAAATATTCTGGAAATAATCTATGTTGTCCTGGAAATGTTTAACACATATTGTTGGAAACTTGACTGTTGGTAGGATAACCTGCATGGTATGACACTTAAAACCAGGTGTACGAGATGTGGAACGAATTTGCAGCAATCCATGAAGTCTATTTTTTCCAGAGCCAAAAGCAGAATTGTCACGAAAGCCCAGTGGAATGTTGTTGTAGTTAATAAATACACTCAGAGCAATGTTGATTTTATGTGCAACGAAGTCTACTTATTCATTTAATTGGCTACTAGGTGAGAATATGATAATCTGAACTGTTACTTGGCCAAATTAAAGTTACTGTTAGAGGAAAACTGTAAACAATTTACTGGAGAGTGGAAAGATCTGCTAAGTAATGCAGTGTATCATAAAGCCTGCATCAATAAAACTGAAGATACATTTTGTCAGTAGACCTACTGTTAAATGATATGGCCATTTGTGAGCAAGTGCTGTCCTGTATGGTCAAGAAAACTCCTGGAAAATGATTTCTTGAAAAGAGTGGGAACCCTGACAACGCACTAGAACTGACAACCCCTGGCGTATAGGCCTTTTCCACCAACAGTGAACCAGCTCTGTATGGAGCATTTCAACCAAAAATAAATTGGTTTGCAATCTGAAAAGTTGGTTCCCAGCTGAAAAAACAAAAAAACAAAATAGGTTTTCCTTGAGAACCAAAGTAGGCGTGTCATATTCTATACAGGTCACCGTGCATTGTGGGCCCTCCGTCGATGACATCAGATTACAATGGTTCCACTCAAAACTGGTGGAAACGCGGGCTGGTTTGTTTGGTAGCACCAAAGTTCCAAGAATCTCAAACGGAACTGGTTCAAGAACAATAGCTGATTTGATGGAAAAACACTATAAGTGACATATTTTCTGGATATTTCAAATTATATGCAACACATACAATAAGAGCAGATAATAACTGATGAACTGTACAATGAGGAAAACAAGGCATTTGGATGAATTTTGAGCAGATTATTTCCTGTGCTTATTGCATCGGAGAGGAGTTTTCCTGATATATTTCTACAATTCTCTGTCTGTATTATGTATTTTTATCATTTCTAACAATCACACATACTTAATAGGCTTCTTTTTTGTTTTATTAGCTTTTTGTGCCATTTGCTGTCTGGTTGTTTGAACTTCTCTAAAGCAGGATGAGGCTGTTTATCACAGTGTGACGGCTCTGTGAATATAGCTTGTGTTCCGCTCTTCAAAGTTTGGATCTTAAATAATAATCAAACCTTTAACAATTTCATGTAGTTATATGTTTTGTTTTGTTTTTTTTACACTCCTAAAATCAAGGAGGAGACGACCCCGGGTACAAGGTACAGCATGGGAACAGAATGCTAAATGCCTTTATTAGAAATGAAGCAGGCAGGTGACCTCTGCAGACACTGTGGTTTGGGCTACAGAGCTGGAACTATCAAACAGGATACATAAACTACCAAGTGAACAGGTTTTAAGAACTCGATTGAACTCGCCAATCTTTAAGACATAAATAAATAATTACATTACATTAAACTTCACTATTAATGTTGCAGTAAAGCTGTAACTCGTACAATTAATCCGTTTCGATTCGCTTTTCTACTTTTGTAGCGCTACAGACGAACCAAAGTACTTCAAGGATCAGCCAACTTCCTTGTTACTCATGTTTACCGGTACAGCGCCGGTACAGCGCCGGTCCCCACCGGGAGGCAGCAGCTAACGTTAGCTAACACCCGACAGACGATTGGGTGCGAGGGTCTGTCAAACACCTTCCCTGGGCCACGAATACTTCCTGACTTAGAAGTTTACAGTTAACAGGCCAGGACAAAACTAAAAACCCCACCGTGTAGCTAAACGGACCAGTAATCTACTTGGAAGCGTCAGGAAACGTTTCTACCCGATAGAGTTGTAAAGAGGAGAATCTTACCTCATAAAACGCTTGCACCATTTCCACCAACACCCACTGCTGTCCCGACGCCATGTTTATTTCCCGACCGCGACGTCATCAGCAATGCTGCGTTTAAGCTCCTCCGGAAAAATGGTAAATGGACCTGTACTTGTATGGCGCCTTTCTAGTCTTCCGAGCACTCAAAGCGCTTTTACACTAACGTTACATGGCACATTCCCCCTTTCACACACATTCACTCAGTGGTGGCAAAGTCCATCGAACAGAAACTAAATCATTTATACATATTCCCAGCATCGGGAGCAATTCGGGGTTCAGTATCTTGCACCAGGAGCCGGGCATCGAACCAACAACCTTCCGATAAGTGGACGACCCGCTCTTCCTCTGCGCCACAGCCGCGAAATAGTTGACCATAAAAACCGTCCATAAGATACAATGCAAACTAAATACTAACTACTACATTATGGAAGCCCATTTCCGCCAACGTGACAAAACGTTTCTCATTATTATTTTAAGAACGTTTCTCAGTATTTGAGCTACTATGTCAAAATATTTAGGTTTCTCCTTATTTTGAGATTCAAGTAATTATTTTTAGTTTCTCATTATTTTGAGTTACTAAGTGATTATGTTGAGAGACTAATAATAATATATATTATTATAATATAAGTCATATGTATCATTACTGATTGCTTGAAACTTGCAAATAAAATAAGTAAATCAAAGTAAGTCAAAAATACGAGGTTGAAGATATGGAGGACCTAGTCTAATCTGATCTAGTTTGCAAATTATAATAAAAATCTATTCAATTATATTTAATTCTAAACGAAACATTTACAAATATGGATAATTAATCAACAAACGTATCTATTTTGTTTAATAATAAATAACTAGACAAAACAACCAATAGCTATTTCCTTAATGTAAAATCAATTCACAACTTACACAATATAATTTAAACAGACCAAAGGAATTATTTTTTGGGGTATGGAATTAACTGGATCCCCATTTATTTTGAGTTATTTTTAAATAGCCATCCTCCTATCGTTTCAACATTGTTCCTGCTTCTTCCTCAGTACCCCCCACAGAGCTGCTCTTGACCAACCCACTCAGTGGCAGTTGTGAAAAAGTGGAACAGTGTGAGTGTGACGCAATGTGTTGCTGAAAGAGCATTCATGCTCAGCAACCCTGTGTAAAACAAAATGTTATTGTGACTGAATGACTGTCGTAAAACAGTTTATTTCTGCAGGATTTCAAGGAAAATGTCATGGAAGTTAGGGGCAAGACCTCCCATAACCCAGTTTTAAAAACTAAGAGTCCCTCCACCCCCAAGTCTCTACAATGTCAGTTGTACTCAGGTAAGTATTAAGTTGTATTTCCAGCTAATTTTATTTCCCAACAACAAACTTTCCTCCCATTTCACAAGGCTCTCTTCCCCAACATTACATGTCCTTTGTGTCTGCTTAATGATTAATTTGATTTCAGTCTGTTATATGATTAATTATCAATCGGGTTATTAATAACACAAGCAATAGGATTACAATAATTGAAAGGGGTTTACCCTAGTTTTTTTTTTTTTTGCAGTTGTCCTGCCTGTGATGCCTTTTGGGGTAGATCAGCTGCTTTATAGTGAAAACAAGTTTGGATCATTTTGTACTCAGCGGGGAACGCTGGGCACACACATCATGTTCTGGTGAATTTGGTGTGCTCATGTGCCCATAGGTAAATTGTAAAATCAGCAATAGTTGTATAGTTTGACTTTGATGTGTGCTCTGGTTTAGCCAGGTGGTAGGTTCCAGTTAGGTAAGGCACAAAAGGTAAAATGCCATTCATTGGAGTAGGGGGAGGAAGGAGTTAGCAGCCTGCTGCAAGTTTGCAACTTTAATTTTTTTTTCTTGTTTTGCCTTAATGTGGTTTTGTTGAATTTGTAACATCATCTGCCCTTGACATCGGGTGGCGGACCCCTTCACACTGCCATCAGTAAAGAATTCTGGTGAAATAGTAAATAGAAATATTTTTGTTGGCCTAGAAGTAGTCTAAGAAACCAACCTGTCTGGCCACAGTATATTCATACTTCATATGATTTAATTACTATTTTTTTAATTTTTCGTACAGAACCCAACAGCCAAAAACAGTGTTTCGTCTTGTTCCTACAGTGTGATGTTTGAATGACGTATGTGCAGAATTTGCAACTAGAAGTGGAAAACCTGATTTCAAGGGGCAGGGCATGATTTGTGACATCATAGTAATAATGCAACTTCTACAAGTGTGATGTAGAACCTTGAAGCCATCAGTGTACATACAAAACAAGAAAACAGGGACCATAGAAATAAATAAAACAGATATCCCCGCAATGTAATGAAATAAGCAGTGTCTATAGATTGTCCACTCCTTTTCACTGGCAATCCCATAATACATATGTGACAACAATGTTCTTTTACTCAAGTATGCAAAGATGTGTCAGTATAGTATTATAATAGTAATAAACAATATAGTTAAACCAATTCAGCTTCTTGCGGAGAATGAAAGCAAAGACAGGGAGCTTATAAAAGCAAGGACACACCAGATATGTGTATTGAAACATTTATTATAAATATTCAGTTGATACTATAGCAGTTGTTATTGCTAGCAGACTTTAAAGCCATTATGCTTGGTTAACAAAACCATTAACTTACTCTTGACAGAATCTAATGATCCTCAACAGTGAAATTAATAGAAGTGGAAAAAAAAGTACCTTGTAATTATGATTAAGTATCTCGTAATTATGAGATTCTTTCTTGCGATCACGATACATCTCCAATTTTTCCTGCAATGTTCTTTCATAGAAATGCTACACAAAACATAAACAAAATGTACAGAAAATCCTATGTGGTAGTTTGAAAGTAAATGTTCCAATTATATAATTACCAATATATTTACCTATATCACTGAGCTTCACACACTTAAAAATAGCCTGTTGATCAAATGCAACTGCCATTTCATGTAACTTAATTATTTATCTTTTTGTATTGCTGAAAAAAGGAAATCATTCAGAGGTCTGTTCACAGCTGCTGCGCTCTTCACAAAACAAATTTGCTCAGTTTCTCATTATGATAAATGTTACAACAAGATTTGGTATGTAGTAATTGTTTTGTCATGGTGGCAGCATCTGTAAGAACCAGGCTAATTCAAAGCTGTTTTGCTCGTTTGTTCCAACTATTATTCATCAGATTGTTCCTTTTCACAATCGGCAGTGGGTACCATATCAGTTAAAGCAAAAGGCTACAATGCACTGTGTGGTAAGATCTGGTCCTGAGGCAGAAGTGTAAACGTCATAATAACTACAGCAGCAAGAAAAGGCTAATATAATGACAATTAATTACAAAAAAGCATCCTTTGCTTAGCTCAACAATGTCCTTTGGAAGCTACTGTAACTGAACACAAAAAAAGAACGCGAAATTGCACCACAGCTGAATGTAACATCAGACGACCTGATTCTACCCAAACCAGATCTTGAGTCCAGACCTCCAAGTGATTCCAAGTCCAGTCTCACTGAAACCACTATGTCCAGGACCAAAGATGACCTAACATTCTGTAATCAATGTGCAACTACTGTCTTGCGAGAAGCTTCATTATTATAGAAATTGTCTGATTGTGCCTGCAACTTTAACAGGGACAGTATGCTTCAAATTAAGTGTTTTTCAGACAGCATCTGAAATCCCTCTACACTTTTCCAACATCAGCATCATCAGAGAGCTGTGTCTGACAATTTTAGTAACTTTTCAATGTAGATTTAAAGGTCCAGTGTGTGACATTTATTCACAGGTATGTTTTCACTAGTGTAAAATGACCTGAAAATAACAATTGTTGTGTTTTTGTTATCTTAGAATTAGCTGTTTTTATCTGCAGAGGGAGTGGGTGCTCTTCTACGGAGTCCGCCATGTTTCTACAGTAGCCTAGAATGGACCAACCAAACACTGGCTCTAGATAGGGTCTTACACATTTTTGTTTTTTTCTGCAACTTTAGTAGCCACCATAGTTTCTCCTACAGACTTAGAAGCATTAACAGTATGTATAATGGTAAGAGCTTCTGGGTCTGTAAAGTGAAGCCAACGCAGAAGTGTCAACCAGTAGCGGACAGCACCACAGGCTGCAAAAAACACACCTACCATTCCTAATGAGTTTGAGGTCTTAATCTCTAGTTTCAGTCTTCTTCCATACAGCATGATGTTCATTTACTAAATTATGGTCCCATTTAGAGTAAAATAGACTATAAAACAGGGTATGCCTTTGGGCGTGGCTAACTTGTGACTGACAAGTCATTCTCAGTGAGTACCCCAAGCTCGAGGCTTCAAAACAGTACTCCACAATCCAATAGGTTACGTCACGATAGGTTTACACTTGCTTGGAAGGCGAGCGGTTGTTCATTTGGTTATAATCTGCAACTTCACCACTAGATGCCACCAAAGCCTACACTGGTCCTATAAACAAATGTCATAATCATAATAACTATGATGTGCCTTGTAAACATTCTATTAGCTGTCCTCTGACAGTAGTAAACTGCTGAATCCCCATGGTTTGGCATGAATAAAAACAAGGCAAACACATACCCCAGGTAGGTGAGAAAACAATTGGATTAGAGAGTGGAAATTAGAGAAACAGCTGGACAACAAGCTAAATAATCTTAGCACAGTAGCACAACAGGAATCAGCTTGGAAGGGACACTATCTACACAGCCTTAGCTTCAGGTCTGCAGGAAGGAATTTCTAAAAATTCACCTGGGGATTATGGCAGATTAAGGTAGCAAATTAAAGCAGGCTAACTCCCTCGCTATGACTCTCTCACTCTCACACACATGCACAAACAGATTGTGTAACGCAGCAGACAATACCACATACCAGTATTAAATGGTTAAATGAGTTGCAAGCGGTGATTCTGCTGCATACTGAAACCGTAAACACATTCAAACTTGGGTATAACCTTTAACGTCCTTATGATTCCTATATATATATATATTTTTTTTTTATTTCCTTGGTTTCATTTCCTGTCATGTTTACAAATTACTTGAAATCACCTTTATCATATTTAGATTAATATAGCTTGCTCTTTGAGTGATTTGTTAAAATTCCAACACTTGGGATGCCCCAAAGTAGCCTTGTTGTCTACACATGTCTAAAAACGACACTGGTGGAGAATTAGAATTGACCCAAACCCTAAGGAACCACAATAAAGGTCCCAAACCTCTATATTTGCATAATTTTCACTGTAAATAATAAATCAACCAATCTGTAATGCTAAAGTGAACAGTACAATGTCCAATGTACCAACTAACAGCCAATTTATATTAACTCAGTGGTTTTCCAAGATGGTTTGGGACTTGATAAGGTAGTAGACACCTTCAACAAATTTGGTGCAGCAATCCTGGACTCAGTTCTGTTCTTGTACCATTTCCTCTGGATCTGAGTTTACCTGCTGTCACGTCAGTCAGGATTTGGGTCTTTTCCATTTTGGATAGGATAGTCTTGGGTCCTTTCTGGATAAAATTTTCAAGACCTCTGATCCACAGTCACACTACAGAAGTCCATCACTGTCTGCATTCAAGCAGAACTGAGGTAAACTTGCATGGAGGAGTCCATTATGGCTGGAATGTCAGGATGAAGTTCTGTTGTACCCTCCCTCTATGTGTTTTTCCAGCCACAGCTCTGCTAACTGCATTGTTGATGCAAACGTACTTGCTCTTGAGCCAAGGCACATTTTGTGTTGCTTCTGCTCTAGACTTGCGTTGCAGTAGACAGGGTGATACATGTGGACAATTCCTGGTTCTTGACTGCGCAACACGTTTAAACCGGAGTTAATAACTTTTGTGAACAAGTCTACGTCTTCCAATCCCCAGCCTAGGATTGAGGTGTCAAAACCTCCAGCTTTTAGTAAATCACTCTTGAAAACACAAGTGATTCCAAAGCCGTAATCTCGCCAGAAACCACTTTTCTTGGTGAGCACAAAATTGTTTTCTCTTGGGGCCTTCTCTGAATAAACTATCTTGGGGTTGTACTGACTAAAGACAACAGGAAAATAGACCTGTCTCCCTTGGACAGTATTGTCTCTGCAGCGTTGCAAGGCATCACCATTAAAGATAAGATCAACATCGCAGAAGAAGAGTAGAGTGTCGTTATCAAGCTGTGAGGAGCCCAGCTCCAGAGCCAGTCCTCGTGAAAAGTTGCCTGTCATGGGGATTACAGACAGGTCAGCTTTAGGATACTTCCTGTAGTAGTCTTTAATTAACTGAGTGTGTCTTCCTCTGTCTTGATTGCTTTCATTGTCCACCAGAATGACGGAGAGCTTAACATTTTGTTTGGGTATCAAACACACTTTCTCAAAGTTCTCCATAAAGCGGACAAAGGTGTCATAGCGACGAGACAGTGGAACAAGGATGTTGACCTTTCTCTGGCTTTGCTCCCATATTTCCCTGGTTGATTCATAGACCTGGAAAGGTGACAAGAACCTCAGAGAGTTGGATAGGAAAGACAGGGATTGGGATTCAGAGTTGATGGCAGCCACAAGTTCAGCCACATCTAATTCTTCTGTTTCAGTAAAGAAGGGTCTACTAAAGGACTGCTGAAGGTAAGCGTGCCGCCTCACAGGTACCGTTATTTTGCGTCCCTTATGTTTCTTGTACAGCAGGAGTAAGTCTAAGATGTATTCTGCACCATGCATTGGATCCACCCTGTAGTAGCCATACTGAATCTTTTTAAACTCAATTACACGGCCACGTGTTTTCGAATTCTCATTAATCATTTCCATGACCTGGAGTATAATGTCTTCTAGTGCAGTCCGAAACAAGTTCCCAAGGTTTTGTCGGGCCATCTTGTTCTCAACAGCAGAATAAATATGGCGGCCAGTCAGGAAATCCCACTCAATGACATCGTTTCTCTCATTGGGTTGAAAGAGCATGTATGAAGGTGGGGAACCCAGCTGTTGGTCCTCCCACAGTACTTCTGTGTCACTGAGGTAACTCATGATCAGACCTTCACGGTGGAGCAGGATGGTGCGGTAACGAAGCCTTGAGATCTCACGGCTCAGCATGAAGCTGTGGAGCCGGTATTGGTAGGCAGGCTTTTTGTTGGGGTGGAGTGTAATGGCATTGTGGATCTTGCTACTCTGAAGTTCTTCAATGAAACCTTTCTTGTTGTGTTCATAGTTCTCATAGAAGAGCTGCTGCATCTGTGGAAAGAGTTGCAACACCAGGATAAGAGCATGGATGATGTCCAAGTACCAGTACAAACAACACTCGCTTCACTTTGATCAAACCAGACTAACAGCTTGCAAACTAAATGTTCTTTTTTATTTCAGATTTACTCCAAACGAGCCTAAAAGGTCCAGTGTGAAACATTTAGGAGGATCTATTGGTAGCAATTGATTATAACATTCAAAGGTTTGTTTTAATAAGTGTATAATGATAATAAGAATTGTTGTGTTTTCGTTACCTGAGTTTTTACCTTACCTTTTGTCTACAGAGGGAGCGGGTCCTCTTCTATAGAGTCCGCCATGTTGAACTGCCATGTTTTTACAGTAGCCCAGGTCAGGCAAACCAAACACTGGCTCTAGATAGGGACTTTTGCATTTTTTGCGCCCACCGTAGTTTCTCCTATGCGCTTGGAACGGGAGGGTGAGGCGAAGGCAATCAGCAACTACACTGCTAGATTCCAATACATCCTACTCACTGGACCTTTAAGTAGCTGTGTTTTGCAGTCAGTCATATGCCACCGCCATTGGTTTTGGCATGATTTGTTTTTGGGTTGCACATACAAGTGGATATTAGAAAGGAAAGATTGTTTTGTTCTCACCTTGGCTAATGCAGACTGTGAAATGGCCTCAGCCTGATGGGATTCTAGTGATGACCCAAATATGCATCTAAATTGACTGAATATAGGGTTGCACAATTAATCGAAATATTATCGAAATCACAATATGGCCAAGTGCAATATGCAAATCACAGAAGTTAAAATGTGTGACAGCTTTATAATGTACCGCACAAAGTACTGTAGTACTGCAGAGATACCTTGACTTACAAATCTTGTTCTCCAGATTTAAGAAAAGATGTTTATTTGGTAAAAACACAAATTCACATTCATCATGATTTTCAATAATTGTTTTTTAAGAATAAATTTGTGATAGAAAAATGATCATTCCCACACTAATTGTGAATCATATCATTATAACAATATCTGTCAAAATAATCGCAATATAATGTTTTTACCATATCGTTCAGCCCTAACTGAATATGCTCACAGGTTTTTGCCATAGCTTACTAGCTAATGAACAAGCAATTAATACCTGTCACATAAGCATATGTAATAATTCTTGACTGTTAACATTAAAGTGGGAAACAATCTTAGAGATTTTGCAGAAGATGCCTGTCATGAAGCCTAATATCTTCTCCTAGTCCACATCAACCACTCCACAGGCCATAAAACTGAACAAAGCTCCTGATATAAAGTGGAATGATTCTCACTAAATCAGTTCAGAAAGCAGTATTTCTTTTGGATATTATACATACATGTAAGAAATTTATACCTGAATTCACACAGTAATGATCAAATTCCCCCACTGCCACTGAATATAGACTCAGTGACATTTTAGGAACATGAAAAAACAGGAAGCAGACTGACTCAATCCATACCTCGTAAGACCACACACACTGTGTTCCTCCAAAGCGTCGCACACAGCGGCCCACTTCCACATCCTCGTGGGTGGTGTACATCTCTCTCAGACAGGTACTGATGTGAGGGACCATCCTGCGTAGCACCTCTCGACTGAAGATCATCCCGGGGCCTCCCATACAGAAGTTCTCTCCAGGCTCTAGGGCCAGTTTGCCCAGCTCTTCAGCCATGCCCAGGCCTGTCTGGCCCAGGTAAAGGGGCTTGCTGCTGTTCAGTGACCGCAGAAACAACTCCAGCTTCTCACCTGGCAGAGGGTGAGGTGGGATAAATTAGATGCATGGCTGGTTAAGGTTAAAAATGTTACTTTGCTCAGTATAAACATCCCAACATAAAAAAAAAATCTTTATAAAGCAAGCCAAATGTATTATATTCAGCAGTGTGTAATGGTCAAAAGAAAATACAGTATAAACAAATATATATATGTATTTATTGTTTATTTTTATTTATTGCAAACATGGACTTAACATAATTTCTATCATTGTATCGGTGAACATTACCTTCTGTCTCAGGCTCTAAAAATAAAATCAGCCTCACAAAAGGTTCCCTTCCTAAAACAAAGCTCAGGTTTCTTATAATCATTCATCCAGAAAAACTCAGAAATTAAGTGTAGCCCATAATTGATTTTATATATATATATGTGCACACAGAGATCATTGTCATGATTTGGATCTTAAAGCTTAGTTCTGAACATCATTTCAATGAATTATAATAACATTGTCCTAACTTAAATGGAGTTCACCCAAAAATAAAAACTACATAGTTTGTCTCTTGCCTGTAGTGCTATTTATCTATCTAGATGGTTTTACTTAGTTGCAGAGTTTTATCTATTTTCTGAGATACTGGCCTTCCCTTCTATATAATGGAATCTGATCGGCTTGTAGTGCTCAAAGTGCCAGAAATATACATTTGAAAAACTCGACAGCAATTTCTCTTTCTAGAAATCATGATCACATTACTCAAGAAAATCCACAGACCCTGTTTTGAGCGGTTTCATGTAGGAACTATTTTCTTTGCACCGAACTACACCTGCCGACCGTGGCTGTTAGCGTTAGCTTTTTCAGTGGTGCTAGGTAATAGCCAACATCACAGCTCAGCCGAGGAGGATAGTGATACGTAGAAAGAAAACAGTTCATATATTTCTACATTCTGTTGCTTTGAGCATCACAAGTGCCATCTGTTCCATTATACTGGAGAGAAGGTAGATATCTCCCAAATCAGTAGGTGACACCAAACCAATCTAGATGAATAAACAGCACTACAGGAAAGAGGAAAAATATGTATGTAAATAATTAAAACATATGTGACTTTGGGGTGAACTGTCCCTTTAAGTATGTACTGAGATCTAGGAAGACAACAACATGACTTCAACAAAGAAAGCTACCAAGCAGTCTGATGATCAGACAGGTTTGAGACACAACAGTAGTTTTGGAGGTAAAACCATATATTGTAGGGGTGTAACGGTACACACAAGTCACGGTTCGGTACGTACCTCGGTATGGGGGTAACATATAAAAGACTAGCTTTTTTTTCATTTATTTTGAACAGACACCAATTGAGTGCAAAATAAAAAAACATCTATTATAAAAGTAAAAAATAAATAGAATAAAACATAAAACAAATGTATTAGGAGGGTTCTCATTCTGTTAATACAGAGGAAAAGATAGACTGAGGTAGTCAGGTAGCACTTCTTGCCAACTGGCGTCTTTGGTGCAACAACTTATCCCCGCTGCTTTTAAGCCACCTCTTGACATTAACCCAAAGACGTTAGGACGTAGTCTCTGTGAGTGGCTGGTAAAATGTGAACACTCACTAGTCATTTGGCTGGTGGAGAAAAAAAAAGTTAATTTTGCAGTTTTTAATGTTTCAGTCATTTAGTGTAACACATTCTGGAATAAGCACGGTTTCAATTTGGACACAGTTCTACAACACAGGCAATAAGGATACACTGTAGAAGCAAAGGAAGGGTTTCGGGCACTACTTCACCTCCTTCCAATGTGCATGGAGATCCAACCCATCACATCTAATATCATATGTTTTGATCATAGCAATGTAATATCTCCTCATAAATATGTTTTTTTTTTTTTTTTTAAAACAATACATTTGGACTATGGGAATCACTGCCCCTCGTGAACTTTAGAAAGCTGTAGGAATGTAAAGATATATCGCAAGACAGTTAAAGCTGCAGTAGGTAACTTATATATATTTATATAATATAAAAATATATATTATATTTTGTCATATTTACTGAAACTTTCACTATATCCTGACAGTAGATCATGAGACAGATAATAATCTTACAATATATCTTTACATAGAAAACATATTTTGTAGATTTTTGTCTGAGAAATAAAGGAATATTTTATATTCTTTATTTTCATAATTTGTCTTCAACCTAATTTTTGTTATAAAAGATTGTGAGAAAATCACCCTGTATCATGAATAATATTGAATTGTGAGTTGAGTGTATGGTTAACAGTGTCAGGGAGTAACTAATTACTAGTAATAATATTACAGTGATAATATATTTCCACAGTAACTGTTGGTGTCACTAATTAAATACATTTCAGTAACAATATTAATGTTACGCCTCTAAAATAATTAGTTACAATGTTACTTTTTTTTTGGTAACCCCCTATTGATCTGAAATCAATCAATCCAATCACATCCTCGGATTCATTTTTGTAATTGTGGAGGAAATTAGTTTGGAAGATGGAAACATTGACATTGAGCAGCTGGAAATGTCCAATTACTTTGATTTTTTGAACAAAACTGGAGTTTAATCGTCGTCAGTCTGAATTTTTGGGAGAAAGGACACAGTTACCAAAAAGTAATACTAAATATAGTAGTGTAACTAATTACTGTTGGCAGGGAGTACTAAGTAATATAATACAATTACTTTTGAAAACAGTACTGAGTAATGAGTAATGAATTACATTTTTTGAGTAACTAGCCCAAAAAACAGTGTAATATATGGTTCTATATTAGACTGTATTTTTGTCGCACACACACTTGAGCCATTCACAGAATAATCACCTCTTATATAAACATCATCATCTGCCCGCATGAACCACTCGTATTTATCCAAGTAGTGGTCGTGGATGTATTTCAGCATCATGAATGACTTCTTCTGTGGCGGGTAGGAGTCGTCCACACCTGCCAGCGAAACCACCGGGACGGGTACGGGTAGGTAGACGCTGCCAGAACCGGCACTCGAGAAGAACTCCACCTTCCCGGGAATGGAACTCACCCAGGTCTTGTACGCGGCCACGGCGCGAGACCGCAGATATTTCTTCGCCGTCATCACGCCGACATAGAGGAAACGGTTCGGTCTGCTTACGGGTCTCCCGGTATCTCCGCTACTGTTCCCCGTGCTGAATACCCTGTCCCCCTCCTGACCGAACTGCGGGCTGTCCCGGTCTTTGGCCGCCGCGGTGTTCCCGAGGATGTCAGGACCTTTACCGACAGAGGAGTCACTGTAGTACAAACACACGGGAGATTTCTTCCGTTTACTCTCCAGAACCTGAGGTACAATAAGCCAAGAGGATGCGGTGAATCCGAGAAAGACGCCGAAAATCACGGTCGTCCACGGTCTCCTTGATTTCAGAGCCATAGCTCGACGTTTAACGGTCAGGGTAGGGTTACCCGGAGGAAGAGTTCAGCTCTGCGGTGAACGAGTATGAATGCTGCCGTTGTCTGAGGAGGTGCTGACGTGTATCCAACATCTCTGTAGAGCATTATCCCGCTCGCTGTGGAAAAATACACTTTCCACCTCTGATAGGATAATTCACCGGGCTAACGTTAAAGACACATCTGTCCCCGCCAGAACAGTCGTCCCATCCTCCAGGCTCGCCTGTCCCATTTGAAAGTGCATCTCAAACCGTACCAGGGTACAAATACTGTCCATTCCGTCTCAAAGCCGCGTTGAAGCTTTCATATGTCCCGACCCCAGAGTGGTGTCTTACTGTCTTTTTTATTAGTATCCATAGTCTTCTGGCTAGTCCTTCCCTCTGTGCATTTCTAAAATGTAGCTAATATGTCAAACACGTCAGTGTCGTCTTCGTTGTTCAAATAGCTAGCGTTAGCTCACTTTAACGACTCACCGTCAGGTTTAACGGTTGTTCTAATGGCAGCTTCACAGTGTCTTATTAACGTGTCTCTAAATCAGGGACAGGTAACATGGCATTATATATTTGTGTTCCGTTATCAACAGCAAGAAGACTTCCAGTCGGGCCTTTTTTTAGTTTTTTCAGAATAAAAGCGTAATAGGTACATTTATAGTACTCAAGAAGTGAAACGCCTTCATTTTCGTACAAGGGCCACTCTGTTACAAAATTCAATCAAATATGAAGTATTTTTAAGATCTTACGTTACGTAATAATAATTGTTCTAATTAATAATACATCTCTCAGCAGGGCGTTCGTGCCTTTATTTTGAAGGCTAATTATGCACAAGCAGCCCTTTATGTTTTGTTTTGTTTTGTGTCTAATGTAAAAGGAGACTTCCAGAATAAAAGCTTCCTCCCTTTTTTCTTTCTCAAAAATAGACCAATAGATAAGGACTGTCTTAAATCAAGTCGGAGAAACCTACATTTAGTCAGTAACTTGTTTATTTCAGCAACAATTGCGGGCCGATCTTTTCAGAATAAACTGTTATAATTAATAATTAATCTTACCGCAGGAAATTGGCATAATGTTTTTTTCTTTCACAAAACAGAAAAATAGATGTTCGTTACCGATAATAGTAATATAATAGATCCCTACATTTAATTTCTGTGCCAACAGTATATTCTGGACCGACCTTTTCAGAATACAAGTGTAATTTCTACGAATCTATCACTGAACCTTTGCTTAAAAAGTAGGCAACTACTGATTCTTTGCAACTCATCTATATCAATTTGTATCAAAAGTACTTTTCCAATTTTAGACGAAAATAAGCAATAAACACAAGACTGCAAACACCCCAATGTCAAGGATAAGACCCAACCAAACTAAAAGCATATTTTATTTGAGTTCCTCATTAGATACAGGAAATAATGAGAATAGCAATAACATAATACTGAATCTTTCCACTTAAATACAATGTAGATTTTAAAAATGATGGGAGGTAACTTGGATTTAACTATATGCTTATTTTGATCAGTCTGCAGCTTGTTTTTGAGGAGTTGTGGAGAACTTCTTTACCAGCAGGTGGCAGCAGAGTCAAAGTGGTGCTAATGTTGTACTTTCAGCAGGGCTACTTTCCAGCCCAGGATTTGAGTCTTTTGACAGATTTTGATGAATGGTTTCACTGCCATGACTTCTCCTGAGGGGAAATAATCTAAACACTCTGTTTACATTACACACTGTATACATTATTGTCAAACCTATGGTTGAGCTCTGTATTTTTGGTCATTCATGGTTTCAGGTTGTAGGTTGTCCTCTTTACAAATAGATGTTATTTTGTATGAAGTGTTGCTTGTACAAAGCTATTCTTAAAACTTTAAAATATGAGAAGAAGTCTGGTCAAGGGTGGACTGAAAAATCACAGTTTAAACCTGTTCAATCACTGTGTAGAAAGCAGAGGGCCGAAAGATAAACAGGTTCCCAAAATATTTAGAGCCCAGTGGCACCACTGTGGTTCAGTAATGATCTATGGTCACTTACACTTTTCGGTACTGGAAAACAAATTCAAAATCTAAGGGTATTTTATTTAAATGGAGGTTTTAATCATTTAATCATAAATTCATTTGGTGTCTGAATTATACTATTTTTGTCAATATTGAAGGAAAGATGAAAAACACTTTAATGAATCCAAACTTTTGAATGATCATGTACTTTAACTAAAAAAAAACTAAAATCCCAAAAGGATGGCCACAGTTTTCGTAAAAGAAGGGACAAGTCATTAGTTAGAATAATGGTCCCAGGATGCTAATAAATAGTTGTGTTTTGTATCAGGTATAAATCTTCTACTTATATTCTTAAAACCATATTGTGGTAAAAAGAGGGAAGGAAACTGTAACAATTATCAGTCTCATTTCAGCATGTATTTGTGTTTACTTTAATGTTATTAATACAGTTATGGTACCAAAATAGTACTGTTTCATGTACTACTGTTATGGCACAGTGAAAATCTCAGCAAATTTGACAAAAGGTTATTTTTATTAAAGTTACCTACTCTCTTCAGCCCCTTCCATCCGTTGTACCTCAACTGATACCTTTAATGACAACATCTTTCAGTATTTCAAATCAGGTGCAACTTCAAGTCTGCATCTTTTCCTTAAGGACAGATTATCTGTCTCTATACTGTCAGGATATAGTCAAAAATTCAAGCATATATGACAAAAAGCTTTTTATTTATAAAGGTTACCTACTGGAGCTTTAATAAGAACATCCTTGGTGTTGTCAGGCTGAATAACTGATCTTTACACAATTAGTAAATCATTTATGAATGATTAATAAAGCAATTGGTTACAACCTATAAACCCCTGATGCAGGGTGGTATATTAGAAAACACATATAGGTAGGTTTGCTCACATAAATAAATTATTTAAAATGGCCATTTTCAGAGCAGCTTAACAACCGTTTCACAGTAACTTTTGCACAACTGTACATTTTTCTCAAACTAATGCTACAGTAGGTGTAACATTAGGCACAGTGGAAAAGTAAAAGTATTATTATTTTTTTTTTATTGATAGTTTTACATTTAAATATAGGTTTATGTACTTTCTACAACACCAAATACAAAGCACAGTCATACAGATCAAAACAGACAAACAAAAGGGGGGTGCAGATGAATTACAATACAGTTCAGTTATCTAAGCTATTTTCCAAATAAGATCCAGGTTCCGTTGTGTCCGTGGTCATATTCAAAGAAGGCTGAGTCTGCCTGTTCCACTGACAGTAGATAAATTAAGTCCAGTTGTCAATACAAAAGCAGCTTGGTTTATGTACTATCCAATTCATCATAATAACTGAGAAACTAATGCAAGGGTGTGATGCATAAGTGTTGACTGTATATTTTCTACCTTTGTGCCAAAGGGGAAGACTAATGGACAGGGAGATATTTGCACTTCCAGAATAGAAGACTTAAAATTACCTAATTTCAAAAGCTCCTCACTGGAGGGCAATGCCACAACAGGTGCATTAGTGTTCCTTTCTACAGAGCCATGCCAGCACAAATGTGAATGGTCAATTTTCTTCTATCTACATGGTGTGATGAAGGCCCTATGCACCACTTAAATGTATAATTTTGTACAACAATGTTTCACATTATTCGATAAAACTGTTCCAAACCGTCTCCCACAGTGCTCTGGTCAGGGATACTCCACAAAGTAAAATTATGATTCCTTACTTTTCTTCTGAGGCAGTGTGTCATGGATGAAGTGAGGTTCATTGGATTGTCAGTGGTTGATGTAAATGAAGGGTCCTGCAGGGTCCTGCTGGGAAGCTCCTTCCTGGAGAACATGACTGGCTGGTGGTAGTCTAGGCTATAGGCCTAGACTATCGGGGATTTCCCATGGTGCACTGAGCTACTCTCTTCCTCTCTCTTTCTGCACTCATTCATGTCCCTTTAATGCATGTTACTAACTCCACTTCTTCCCCGGAGTTCTTGTGCTTTCTCGTCTCGCAGGTTCTCATGGATCCTGGTGGAGCCTCCTGCCATGGTCCTGCTTGACTGCCATTGCCAATACTGTTGTTGCTGTGCACCTGTCTGTCTGTCTGTCTGTCTGTCGCTCTCTCTCTCTCTCTCTCTCTCTCTCTCTCTCTCTCTCACCCCAACTGGTCGAGACAGACGACCACCCACCTAGAGCCGGAGGATCTGTCCTAGGTTTCTGCCTTTTAACAGGCAGTTTTTCCTTGCCCTTGTCGCCAAGTGCTTGCTCATGGTGGTACTGTTGGGTCTCTGTAATTAATGTTAAAGAGTTCGGTCTAGACCTGCTCTATTTGAAAAGTGTCCTGAGATAACTTCTGTTATGAATTGGCGCTATACAAATAAAATTGAATTGAAAATTGAATTGAATTGGTAGGATTCATTGGATTTGACAGTTCACTGAGAGGTCAGTGTAACAAATTTAGGTCAAAACTGGATTTGTAGAAGTACCCTGTGGTAAAATTATTGTTAACCCCCCTTCTCTCAAATACAGCTATTTAGGAATATGCACCATAAGAGCACAACATAAACTCTGTTAACTTATGTTAACTTAAAGTGCACTTTTTTCCCACATTTTCTGGAGATTTCAACCATATCTAGTGTGGGATTTTGAGTGAAACATTTACTGTTTGGTCAAAATTAATGCAGGAGCCACATTGGTTGATATTGTTCTTTAGTGGTGATTATCTCAAGTTTAAACAATACAAGCAGTGCTGGATCAGATTACTTTGAATGTGGTCAGTCACTGAATACAGATTAAATAGAAGTGTTTTATAATTAGTCACATAATCTATTGCTTTACAAAAAAAATGTAATCTAATCTAAATACTTTTATTATTACTTCAAAATCACTTGCTTTCTCGTCTCGCAGGTTCTTGTCGATCCTGGTGGAGCCTCCTGCCATGGTCCTGCTAGATTGCCGTTGCCAATACTGTTGTTGCTATGCACCTGTCTGTCTGTCTGTCTCTCGCTCTCTCTCTCTCTCTGCCTCTCTCTCTCTCTCTCTCTCTCTCTCTCTCTCTCTCTCTCTCTCTCTCTCTCTCACCCCAACTGGTCGAGACAGACGACCACCCACCTAGAGCCGGAGGATCTGTCCTAGGTTTCTGCCTTTTAACAGGCAGTTTTTCCTTGCCCTTGTCGCCAAGTGCTTGCTCATGGTGGTACTGTTGGGTCTCTGTAAATAATGTTTTAAAGAGTTCGGTCTAGACCTGCTCTATTTGAAAACTGTCCTGAGATAACTTCTGTTATGAATTGGCGCTATACAAATAAAATTGAATTGAATTGAATTGAAAATCAAACATTGAAGATATTCCACCTTATACTAAATAATCGGGCAGAAGTGGTTCACTGCCTTATGCAGGGGCGGCAGGAAGTATCTCAACTTTCCAGTCATTCCCAGTTTATGGGATCTATGGGATATCTAATGGCTGTGGAGAAAGCTGCATCACAGGGCTGTGTTTGATGTCAATTAATCCAGGGGACATGTAGGTGAAGTGCTGGTTAAACTGTCACAGTCTGTGCCACAAGCTATGCACATTTAGGCAGAATATGATGGGAAACTACTTATAACTGGATGAAGCCAGTGGAAGGCAACTATGGCGTAAGACCATAACAACTGTGAACCATAATCTTCCTTTTATGCTTACTGTATTTACTTCAGTAAGTTCAAGCATTTCACAAGCTACAGAAACCTGTAACCTGAGTGGTCTATTGTGTGCTACTGAACCAACCAGAAGGCAGAGCTTAGATATGTCACAAGCTAAGGGGCAGAACAGAAATGTTTCTTTTAAAAGTTAGATTCAAGATTCGATCAAAATCCATTTTCTTTGTTAAAATCAAAATAATGGAATATTTCCAGCTGCTGAATGTACAACAAAAGTAAGGTTGTAACTTATTATTTATTGAGGGTATAACTGTAATAAATTAGTAATTAGACACATTACTAATTACTGGGAAGGAATATTATATATAAATATATTATATGCGACATGTTATCCATGTTACCAGGCTAGATGGTAACCCTCAGTATTGGAAACATGTCCCTCATTGTCCCTTGCAGACAGACATACTCTTTGTCCCACGTTTGGTTTGTTGGGATCGGGTCACCCTCAGAATACAGCCTCATTAGCAACATCTGCTTTTGCCTAGTCATACTACAAAGTGCTGATATGAAATCGAACTAATGAGCGATCACGTTCACAGCGGAGCGTGCAGGACGGCAACGGCCTGTGATTGGTGGAGAGGCTGCTGATGTCACTGGAGCAGTCCGGCCAGTGTTTTGAGAATGGGAAAAGTTAGTCAGTGTGTGAAGAGCCGCTGCCTCAGACTGCTCCGATCCGACCGAACACTGGCATACACAGCGCGCCCACTGACTGCACTTTCATGTGCTGTAGGCTTGTAGGAGGACAGTTGTTTATCACTGGATATATCACTATCAGCACCACCGGACGGACCCATGAGCCAGGGCAGGATCGCTATTCTCTCATAAACAAGGTAAACGGTTCTTTTTAAAAAGCCAACCTGACAATAAGGCAGTCATCATCAATTCGGTTTTGTTTTGTTTTGTTAAAGCTGTTTGCTGTGTTATTGTCATCACAAGAAACTGCACAGCTTCTGTAAGCAGAGAACACACATTTATTCAAGAACTAGACAACGTTGAGACTGAGCATTTCTAGGCGTACTCGTCCATTTCAGAGGGACAAGAAAGTGCATTTTAATAGGGCTGTGTATTGGATCTGGAGATATGATACATATCACTATACAGGGGCTATGAATTCATTTTAGTGTCTGTCAGTATGAAGAACACACCGCCTTCTGAGGGAAAAAAGTTGACTTTTTAATGCAAATGTGCATTGGTATTTCTCACAGTCCCTGTCAGCCCTCAGCTTCCATTTACAGCACTGCTATCTTTCTATGTATTTAAATACAAATATCAATACAGTGTTTCTGAGAATTGATATGATGATACCAATATCACAAAACAAAATCAGTTTTAATGCATATAGTGTTCAGTGTATCTGTTACAGTGGTCAGGAACAGAAACAGAACCAGGAGCAGAAACATTTCAGAGTAAAAGGTCTAATATGAGGAACTGAAAGACGTTGTTAGAAAATAAGTCATTGATGCATCTGATACAATTTCTGTGCCTCAGTTGAAAAGCTGAAGGCGTAAAGGCGGGGTTAGAAGCAATGGGACTTAAGATCGATGCTTTCTGTAATCAGAAATATTTCCTAAATTGGAACCACATTTTTATTGTGTGAGAAACAATCCCGATCATAAGGAGAGGTGAACATACAATTAAACTGTATGATTTCTCTTCCAGTATCCATATAGGACTGTGATTAGCTTCCGGCTGGTTGAAGCTATTTCCCCATATAGAGGAAAAGACTAACTTTGCTGAAGAGGATTTTTTTTCTAATAAAGATCCTATAGGTAGCTAGTTCCATCTCAAGGCTTATGTTAGCAAAACAGTAGCTATTGAGCTAGCTAATTTACACAACTTGTTAGTTAGCTAACTTTTTGCTTAAATGGGCAAACTTGAAATGTGCCTTTCAACCATTTTAAAATGTTGGTATCAAAAGAAGCTTAGGAAGGGTCAATTATGACAATAACACCCAAGATGAAAAATACTAGAATTTTCCTTTATAATATTCATATGATGGCAGCTTTTTTTACACTTCTGTTGGATTTCTACTTTATTGCTGGTGTGCTTTCCATCTGTATGACTGGATTTATGAGAGTTTATAAGAACATGCCACTGGGGTCCTTTTGCAATCTTGAGCCATTGACTTTTACCATGTATTGCAAAGCTTTAGTTTATATTCTCTACATGGAGCCCTTGTCTTTTCATTGTGGTACATACCAATTTTCCAAATGCACCACCTGTTCCTGTTAAGAGTAGTAGGGGACTCGCTGGAGAAAGACTGAACAAATAGTACCAGAGAGACTTTAATGGTCTAATAAGCTGCACCTGCCAAAATCACACACACACACACACACACACACACACACACATTCACATGTTTCCAGACCACCAACTGCAAGTGTTGTTAGATTGAAACTGTGAGGAAAGGTTATCATTTTGCAGACCTTTTCTCATGTTTTGTGTCTTGGGTATTGTGTTTAGAACACGTGGGTAATATGGAATGAACCAGTGCTCCCAGTATGTAGCCTGCAAATTATATTAAATTTAATATATTCTATTTCTGCCAATAGAGCCTCCTAAATGGTACACCTGGACTTCTTTAGATGTTCTGAAATGTTGTTTGGAAGTACTACCTGAAGTTGATGCTCCTAAAAGAAAAGATGCAGATTTGAAGTTGCACCTGATTTGAAATACTGAAAGATGTTGAAGTGGTCATTAAAGGTGGAAGTGTTGAATAGAATTGGAAGTCACAATATTCAATGTAGTTTAAGTGTCAGTTGAAGTAAAACAGATTGAGCTGTTGTAGGTTTTTTTGTAAAATTGATGACAGCTTATGTGTGAAAAAATCAGGTTCCTCTTGCTCCTCCTAGTGCTCCTAATTGTATTTGCAATAATCCACCGGACCTGAATGAAAACCAATTACTTCCTGCGGCTTTAAAATGAAAGCACTGATAGGAACCGTGTTGGTTGGGTAAGTAAAAATGCTGAAAGGTGCTGACGTGCCATAACTCGTAAGTGTTGGAATTGATATAATTCACTGTGATGTAATATTATGTCCTTAATACTAATGGATAGCTTCCAGCTTTATTGACATGAATGTAAAACAACAATATTGCCAAAGCTACAACAACTGATACAGAAATTAGAATCAAGTTAAGCTGTGGAGACAATTTGTAAGTGAAGGTTTTAAATAAAATCCTGTTAAACGTACAGAATGTAATTTCTGCCACTAGGGGGTCTCTGACATCAAATAATAACAAAAGACAAGCTTGATGATGTTGTGAAGTAGCGTGGGATAATGGGAGTTGTTGTCTTCACCACCATTGCTATCATTGCAGTCAGCTTCTCCCGGTTAGGATTCCTTCAGTGTTCATGGTTCAGGAGGTTTCTACCAGGAGCCCAGTGATCCACAGAGGTCTCCTCCTCTCCAAAACAAACAGAGCTGCTGATTAAAACCACTAAACACACTGAATAAAGCAGTTCCACCTTATTGGGATTTTTTTGTATTTTTCAATGACAATCTTCAGATTTTTTCTTCATGTCACTCTTTTTGCAGTGACAGATTTTTTTACAATGTCAGTTTTTTTTCAGTGTCACTGATTTTCAGTTTAAACTTTCTGTCACTGTTTTGGCGTTGAGAGGAGGGGTTTGAGGGGAGGGGCAAGTAGAGCGTGGTTTGCATATAATTTGCATATCAGCATACTTAAGAAGTACGTCTCTTTCCCGGAACCCGCCGTCCGCTCTGAAACCTACGGAGCCCCTAAAGGGACATGGAAAAAATAAATATGAATGAAAACGAAACGAAAAAAGGAAACGTTTCTTGTGCGCACGAGATACTTTCTTGTGAGCACCAGAAAGTATCTTGTGCTCACGAGAAACTTTAGGTTAAGCACAGGCTGTTGTGCTTCCTGTGCGTATGCCTCTAGGTTCATTAACTGCGGTCAGCCGTTGCTAGGGTGGCCATTTGTCCGGCTTTTAAATGCCCTGTCCGGCTGCAGGCGCAGCCTTAAGCCGGACACTCATTTGTCCTCCTTTTGAGAAAATAACAAAAGGTCTACCTTTTGACACATTTCCTTGTTAGTTTAATACTTATTGACTAAAAATGTGTGTCAAAAAAGCTGGGTCAAAATAAGTAATTTCATTGGTTACATGTGACCTATCAACACATGGCTAATTTTAATATTCAAATGAGCCGTGTGTTGTGGGAAGCAACACATGGCTCATTTGAATATTAAAATGGCAGTTGCTACCACCAGGCTGTCAATCAAGCTCTCAGCGACAGAGAACGTAACTTTAGCTAACATCAGTTGTTGGTTGTACAAATATAAACTTTTATTGTTGAATTTCTCCAAATTGGTGCAGTAAAAATGCTTGATATTGAGTGTGTGTGTGTAGTCTTAGATGTGTAGAAGTCAAATATACCATCCATGGCCAGGAATTATTGAGCAATGTGTTTTTACTGTACCTCAAATATAAGAAAAGATGCCACTTGGAGATACAAATATGGAACTTTTGTTTTGGCATTTCTCCACATTGGTGCAGTAAAAATGCTTGATATTAAGTATTTTTTAATTTTAAGTTTTTTATTCATCATGGTCGCATGAAACACTTTAAAGTAACATATTTTATTTTAAATGTAGGTTCCAATTATAGCTTACTGTTCTTAAAACCTTTATTTTGACAACCGGAAGTGAATACGCTGTTTCTCCGCAATTACCATAATGCTGAGAATACTTGTACACTCGAAATTTAAGTGCGGCTGATTTGACCACGGAGATCGGAGTAATGGCTGGCCTGACGTACTTCTTCAGTATGCCGATATGCAAACCACACTCTACTTGCCCCTCCCCCTCCTCTCAACGCCAAAACAGTGACAGAAAGTTGAAACTTCATAACACTGAAAAATAACTGACATTGTAAAAAAATCTGTCACTGCAAAAAGAGTGACATGAAGAAAAAAATTTGAAGATTGTCATTGAAAACTACAAAAAAAATCCCAATACAATAAAGTAATAAGATTTTAAGATTTTAATTATTTTAATTAGTTTCTTTTTTCAATGCCAATAAAACTGTTTTCAATACAAATGTTTCAATGCCAATGTTTCCTTTTTCAGTACTGGTTTTGTTTTCAATGGCAATTTTTCTTTTGGATGCCAAATTTTAAAGTCACCATCCTTGCTCCATAGATGACCAGCAGGAAGTGCAGTGTTAGTGTGCATAGAAACGCGTTGCAGAATGACACACACTGTGTGGTGTTTCCGTAGTGAAAGTGAGTGAGGGAGAGTCAGGTCACATTGCAGGAGACACACACAGCTGACTGTGTGAGATGAAAACCCAAACATAGCATGGCCAACAAAGCCAGACTGGACACACACAATACATACTCACGCTTTCTCTCTCTCTCTCTCTCTCTCTCTCTCTCTCATTCACTCACACACACACACACACACACACACACACACACACACACACACACACACACACACACACATACACACACACACAGCAGCTGTGTTTTTTTTAAGGTTTCACTCAGCCAACCAGTTTTTTTTTGAGTAAAAAATAAAGATATTTTAATCTTTGACACTAGATCTTCCAGTTGAGACTGTCATCGCAGAATGTGTGCTCACTAATACATCAGGAGTGTTTCCCACATTTCTTTGTGATGGTCGGGCCTATTTGAGAGTCAGCTGCCAAATCTTCCAGCCAGGGAGGTTATTTTCCAATCTATACCAGCACTATTCCAGTGTTAAAGTATGATAATTATTTCAGTACATTATGGGCTCAGTTTGTCAGAATCAACACTATGTGGTCAGAGTTGTATACTATAATCAGTCTAAGCTGTACT